GGGAACCCACCAGAGAGATGTCCCCCGTCCTCTGTATTCCCGGGATTCCACACAGGAAGGTCACACCATCCCTCACCATCATCAGGTAGATGAGGAACAATCACTGATAGTATCATTAGGATCTGTACATTATCTGCATTGTTACCATTGATGTCATTTTTATTTCTATATTCAGAGTGGAAACCTGAGAGATCCTAAAGTTGAGGTTAAAGGAGAGATAAAAGAGGAGGAGGATGAGGATGGGGTGATGGAGGAGTCAGAGATTCCAGAAGAACACAAAGATCCATACCAGGACACCATGTTGAAGTCATCCAGCTACTGGAACCCACCAGAGAGATGTCCCCGTCCTCTGTATTCCCCAGATTCCACACAGGAGGGTCACACCATCCCTCACCATCACAAGGTTGGTGGCAGGCCCGGACTGGCCTTAGGGCACATTGGGTATTTGTCAGGTGGACAGGGGGTTCCGGACAGGGCCAAAACTCTGGGAACTCTGCTGCATTTCCTTATGGAAATTTTCTATTACAGGTTGTCCTTTAAATGTGTCATATATTAGTGTTATTCATATGTCTCTCATGTGGCTTAATTAAAGCTCTGAAGGCTGCAATTAGGCCATGCGCATGTACAATGTATATATTACAGTACTCAGCTCGGTAATGGATGAGATGGCAGATCTGCGCTTATAGACAGGCATGTATACCACCACATTCGATGCGAATGCCGCCGGCGGTAGGCCCCGGGCCTGTATCCACATATCAGCAGCATAGTACCACATGGATTTTGTATGGCCAGGCGCTGGGCAGTGCGAACTCCGCGTGTAGGCTCATGTACATCTCTACAAGCAGCAGCTTCCGACCTGAACTGTATCTGGATGGATGTGTTTTAATAAAGATCGTATCAGGCCCATTCAGATACAGACTGGTACTGTTTAATCTAAGGGATGCTTGTACAGACAATGTACATACTGCTGGGAGCTGATAGCATGTAAATAATGGAAAACTTGCTCTCCAAAGTGAGCTTATGGGGGAGGACAGAAAAACTGGAAAAACTTTTTTAGTATAGGTTAAGAGGGAACTTTGCACTCCGAGCAGGATGGACATTCTCGTGTATGGACACTCCCTATACATTGTTCTGTGGGAGGGGATTGACTTGGCCCCGTGCGGGGGATGTGTTTTGTAAGATAATAAAAACAGGAGTCTGGTGTTAGACCCGGGCAGAGTGGATTCCAACCTTAACCTGGAGTATCGTCTGATTATTCCTGGATTAAGGGAGCTCCATTTCCCCACATCTCAAAAGAGCTAAACCTTTGCACACCGGTTGGAGGCACAGGAATCGTGGAGCTAAGCTGCAGTCGCGGTAAGCGGAGGGCGCAATACGGTTGCAGCGAAGTTCGCACAGCTTTATGGGGGATTGCTGCGCATCCAACTGCGGGCACTCAGGGTAAGAAAAATTCATTGAAAGCGAATTTCCAAGACATTTAGTACCCTTCAATGCATGGGGAGGGAGGAGGGAGGGAGGCAGACAGTTCTTGAGCCCCGGAGCCATGGAGGACTGAGACAGGGGGCAGGGTAACCTTGCTGCTCTGATGCTATTGCTAGGGCCCCAGGAGGCTGGACTGTGGCTCCCCAGTGGCTGCAGGGCTATGAGATGAAAGAGTCTCTGTTACAGCCCAGAGCTAGCAGTGACATCCCCCCTTTTCCAACACGGACAGGAGTTGAAAGAGAGAGAGCTGATTCTGTTCCTCCTCCTCCCTCCCTCTCCTCCTGTGCCTGTCCCACCTACACCCCCTGGCAGTGCTGTGCCTCAGAGATGGAGATATGTGAGTGGAAAGTTTTCTTTTTTCACATTCTGCGGAGGATTACACTGGGCTGCTCAGTCTAAAATGCCTGGGACAATTTTATTGGCCAGGTCCAGACCTAGTTGGTGGGATGGAGCATCTAGAACATGGACTTGTGGAGACAATGTGTGGATTTTGTGTGTGATGTCACAATCATAAATCTTATATTTTACAGATGATATTCTCTCTCATTTCCTTGATTTAGAGTGGAGATCCAATCAATATAGAATTTGAGGTGAAAGCAGAAGAAGAAGAGAGGCGTATGTGAGGGATGATCAGCAGTCTATGGAGGAGGATGGAATAACGGGGACATTTATAGAGGAGGACACTCCTACAGAGATCAGCACAGGTGGGTCATGAACACTAAATCCATTCCTCCACCCATACTGCTCACTGATTGGTCCAGAGTAGGGCGGGGACTGGGTGATATCAGCCTGTAATCCCCTGGTCACTTTCCTGAGCTGTGTTCCCCGTCCTGTATTCCTGGATTTCTCTCGGATAATCTTCCTTCTCTGTGCTGCAGACACAATTTATGTATCCAGACTGGATTTATGGGGATTCTGGGGATCAGCTGGAAGCAAAAATGTTCATTTCAGCATAAGTGTTACTAGACCTAGGCACCTGGGGTGTGTGCTTTGGGTATTTTTCCCCACGCCCGGGTCTAGTAAGATCTCTGACCGATCATTTCTCCCAGGGTTCCTTGCTCTGTGGTCTGCTGGCTGTGCCGGGTGGAGGGATATGTCTGTAGTGTCTCAGACCCAAGTCACTGAGTGCAGTCTCAGGAGATGGGAGGCAGCGGTGTGGGATCTCTGCAACTTGTCTACAGTAAACATTTAAGCGTCCACTGATTACTGAATACCAATATTATGAGTCCTGACCCTTACACTGTATAATTTATATTGTATATTCCATACTCCTGACCCCTGCACTATATACTCTGTTGTACATTGTATACTCCTGACCCCTGCACCATATACTCTATGTTGTACATTACATCCTCCTGACCCCTGCACTATATTACTCTATGTTGTACATTACATACTCCTGATCCCTGCACTATATACTCTATGTTGTACATTACATACTCCTGACCCCTGCACTATATACTCTATGTTGTACATTACATACTCCTGACCCCTGCACTATATACTCTATGTTGTACATTACATACTCCTGACCCCTGCACTATATACTCTATGTTGTACATTACATACTCCTGACCCCTGCACTATATACTCTATATTGTACATTACATACTCCTTACCCCTGCACTATATAGTCTATGTTGTACATTACATACTCCTGACCCCTGCACTATATACTCTATGTTGTACATTACATACTCCCTGACCCCTGCACTATATACTCTATGTTGTACATTACATACTCCTGACTTCTGCTCTCCCCTCCCCCCACTGCTATATATACACATAATATGGATTCTCTTGTGTTACACCCATTTCCTCCCAGCTGGACATTTTATATTGGATGATGTGATTGGAGCACAGACTTTTACATGGTGATAATAATGTGATAACATCCTCCAACTTTGGACCCTTAAACAGAAAGTGATAATGAGGGAGGAGTCAATACCTCAATGATGGTGGTCTTCAGGATCAGTCCAGTCTTCATCTTGGTTGTTCTCCCCCCATCCTCACTCTCTGACCTCTGGTGGGGCTCAGCCCCGCTGTTCTTCATGACTAAATCATGGACTAAATAAGGAAGTGCAGTACTTCTTGTGTTGGGAAGATGGCGATGAGTGATAGAGGGGGTGGGGACCCTCGTCCTGTAATCCCCTCATCACTGTCCCTCCTATAAAAGACAGTTTCTGGTTGTTTCCCTCACTCTCTGACTAAGGTCCATGAATAAAGAAATGACCTGGTAGGAGATCAGAGGAGCCATTTCCTAGTTCCCTTGAGGGTGGAATTGTAAGCTCCTCAGAGACCAAGCTGCCTGATGTGGGAGGAGTCCTGGTTTGGGGGAACCAATCAGCTCCTGTCTTGTAATCCTCTTTGTCTTTGTATTTTAGTCCATGGCCGGGAGATGAGGAAAACCTCAGAGGATTGTCTCACTTTGTCTCCAGACTGGAAAGTAGAAGATGAGGACATCACACAGTATAGTCCAGGAGAAAACCCGGCTCCCTCCAATGTCCATCCGGCACACCACCCAGTGTAGATGGACCATCGGATTCCTCGTATCCTGAGGAACCTCAGACTGTGCGGGACCGGGCCGGCCTTCCAACAGGGAAGAATTTCTCCTGTACTGAGTGCGGGGAATGTTTTTCAGACAAGTCTAATCTTTACAGGCATCAGAGATCTCACAGGGGAGAAAAGCCATATTCATGTTCTGAGTGCGGGAAATGTTTTTCACACAAGTCTAGACTATATATACATCAGAGATCTCATACGGGAGAGAAGCCGTATTCCTGTCCTGAGTGCGGGAAAATTTTTTCAGTGAAGTCCAATCTTCACCAACATCAGAGATCTCACATGGGGGAGAAGCCATTTTCTTGTCCTGAGTGTGGGAAATGTTTTACTATGAAGTCCAGTCTTTACACACATCAGAGATCTCACACGGGGCGAGAAGCCATATTCCTGTCTTAAGTGTGGGAAATGTTTTACAGTGAAGTCCAGTCTTCACACACATCAGAGATCTCACACAGGGGAGAAGCCGTTTTCCTGTCCTGAGTGCGGGAAATGTTTTTCAAGAAAGTGTAATCTTCTTCTACATCATAGATCTCACACAGGGGAGAATTCACTTTCCTGTCCTGAGTGCAGGAAATGTTTTGCATCAGAAAGAGATTTTGTCACTCATCTGAGATCTCACACGGGGGAGAAACCTTATTCCTGTCCTGAGTGCGGGAAACATTTTTCAGTGAAGTCCAGTCTTTGCAGACATCAGAGATCTCACACAGGGGAGAAGCCACTTTCCTGTCCTGAGTGCGGGAAATGTTTTTCACATAAATCCTGTCTTTACAAGCATCAGAGATCTCACACAGGGGAGAAGCCGTATTCCTGTCCTGAGTGTGGGAAATGTTTTTCACAGAAGGTCCATCTTTACAGACATCAGAAATCTCACACAGGGGAGAAAGCAATATTCCTGTCCTCAGTGTGGGAAATGTTTTTCACAGAAGGCCCATCTTTGCAGACATCAGAGATCTCACATGGAGGAGAAGCCGTATTCCTGTCCTGAGTGTGGGAAATGTTTTTCACAGAAGTCCCATCTTTCCAGACATCAGAGATCTCACACGGGACAGAAGCCACTTTCCTATCCTGAGTGAGAGAAATGTTCCTCACTGAAGTCCTGTCTTCCTGTACATCAGGGGTCCCACACAACCCTGGAGGTGTATTAGTGCCTTGAGTGCGGGAAATGTCTTCTAGATGAATGTTGCTGGACATCCCAGCTCTCATGTGGGGAAGAAGCACACCCTGATATACACCTCAGATATACTCCATGGCTGATCTTCATCATGCAAGAAGAACAGTTCATAAGGAGATCAGAGGTCCCCAAAGACATGGATGAAGTGTGGGACCGGGTTGGCTATTGATGGCAGGAGAAAAATAAAAATGGAGTCCTGACCTGTGATTGGCTGAGTACATTTTGTGGTGGGAGATTTCACAAACACTTAAAACTATTTTTTTAAACAAATATGACCAGGATTTGCCCAGCTGTGGCATCTTTTGGCCACATTTTATTTCATATGATCATTTGCCTCAAGTAGGGACCATCATTTTATATTCTTCTACTTTTACTGATGGAGGTATTTCAGGAAAATACTGCATTATGACCACTAGATGGAGCTGACAATCAAAGGAAATGATTGCTCTCACTTCCGCATGCATGGCGTGATGTAATGTGTGGTGCAATCCATGATCTTGTATGTAGGCACAGGTGGAATATTGGTTAGTATGTATGTGGGAACTCAATGATTAGGGGGCGGGGTTTTAGGTGTTTGGGTGCACCTTTCATTTTTTCACTGTAATGCCAACATATAAGGAACCAATAGCCCCCATATGATCGCATTTTGTGGTGACGGGTTCTCTTTAATGAGAAATCAGGTGTCTATCAGGCCACTCATGTGTCTCCTGCCCTCCATGGTGTCTATCAGACCCCTCGTGTGTCTCCCTCCCTCCATGGTGTCTATCAGACCCCCATGTGTCTCCTGCCTTCCATGGTGTCTATCAGACCCCTCATGTGTCTCCTGCCCTCCATCATGTCTATCAGAACCCTTGTGTGTCTCCTGCCCTCCATGATGTCTATCAGACCCCCTCTTGTGTCTCCTGCCCTCCATGGTGTCTATCAGACCCCTCGTGTGTTTCCCGCCCTCCATGATGTCTATCAGACCCCCATGTGTCTCCTGCCTTCCATGGTGTCTATCAGACCCCTCATGTGTCTCCTGCCCTCCATCATGTCTATCAGAACCCTTGTGTGTCTCCTGCCCTCCATGATGTCTATCAGACCCCTCTTGTGTCTCCTGCCCTCCATGGTGTCTATCAGACCCCTCGTGTGTCTCCTGCCCTCCATGGTGTCTATCAGACCCCTCGTGTGTCTCCTGCCCTCCATGGTGTCTATCAGACCCCTCGTGTGTCTCCTGCCTTCCATGGTGTCTGTCAGACCCCTCTTGTGTCTCCTGCCCTCCATGGTGTCTATCAGACCCCTCGTGTGTCTCCTGCCCTCCATGGTGTCTATCAGACCCCTCGTGTGTCTCCTGCCCTCCATGGTGTCTATCAGACCCCTCGTGTGTTTCCTGCCTTCCATGGTGTCTATCAGACCCCTCATGTGTCTCCTGCCCTCCATGATGTCTATTGGACACCTTGTGTGTTTCCTGCCCTCCATGATGTCTGTCGGACCCCTCGTGTGTTTCCTGCCCTCCATGATGTCTGTCGGACCCCTCGTGTGTTTCCTGCCCTCCATGGTGTCTATCGGACCCCTCGTGTGTCTCCTGCCCTCCATGATATCTATCAGACCCCTCGTGTCTCCTGCTCTCCATGGTGTCTATTGGACCCCTCATGTGTCTCCTGCTCTCCATGGTGCCTATCGGACCCCTCGTGTCTCCTGCTCTCCACTGAAGATAATGGAGAGCAAATTGAGCTCCATTCACAGCTTCTCCGGTCACAGTGGTCAGGAATGATGGCACTGACCCCGGAAGGGACCTAATACACATCTCTTCTAGGGGTGATCAGCGATCGGATGTTCTATGATCTCCCCCCCTCTACTTAGTGGCACCCACTATGTCAATGCTGGGCACATAGGTGTGATAGCAGAGCCTGACAAACATGGCGGGGGGTCTGTGGGGGCCATCCAGTAGCAGTTTGGAAAGCTCCTCCTGTGACAGTGTCTGAGAGTACACCTATTCTTCACCAGAATGTTCCAGAAGGTCCTGCTGGTCTCTGGGGAAAATGATTCCACCATTGGAGGAAGGTTTCCCTGAACATTATAATTTGGTGTTTGGCAATTCCCACCATTGGCCATGTCTGTAAAATATCTAATCATCGTGTTTGCTGATCCTCTGATACCGGACTGGTGAGATCAGAGATTTCCAGAACCAGGAAGGATCCATATCATGTCCAATCAGGAAGAAGATTTCTGGCCTCACTCTCATCTCTACTGTCCAATCAGATCCTCCAATGGTCTCCAGGAACAGTACAGGGCCAAAGTTATGTCTGTTCCTGGGGGAATTTAACCCTTTGGTACCCAGAGGAGAATAAATAGGAGGGTCACTGCAGTGAATTGTGGGTGTGGTAAAATTGCAGTGGGTGGGGCTTAAACATTTGCCTACTCATTGTGTATAGCAGTAACATAATTCACTTCCTTGTATCCACAAAATATAATTCAATGACTTCCACAAGGGAGAGTCTCACTGTCACGTTCCTCGGTTGGAGGCCGAGATGATGAGAGGCCAGCTGTGGTCTGGGCACCCCTGAATGTGGTGACGGGTACAAGGATTGAAGAAGCACAGGTTCCGGCAGCTTGTTAGCAGGTGACTGCCACGGTCAGGGATGTAGTCAAGGTGAGCTAGGGTCATACAGCAGCATGGCAGTCTGGTACGGAGACAGGCCGGGTTCAGTACCATGGAAGCAGGCAGACCAAGGTCTAGTAGCAAGCCGAGGTCGGCGCCAGGAGATCAGGCAGAGAATAGAGTAGAGTGCAGTGGTCAGGAATATGTCATATACAGCCCTGTGTATAGAGTGCAGTGGTCAGGAGTATGTCATATACAGCTCTGTGTATAGAGTGCAGTGGTCAGGAGTATGTCATATACAGCTCTGTGTATAGAGTGCAGTGGTCAGGAGTATGTCATATACAGCCCTGTGTATAGAGTGCAGTGGTCAGGAGTATGTCATATACAGCTCTGTGTATAGAGTGCAGTGGTCAGGAGTATGTCATATACAGCTCTGTGTATAGAGTGCAGTGGTCAGGAGTATGTCATATACAGCTCTGTGTATAGAGTGCAGTGGTCAGGAGTATGTCATATACAGCTCTGTGTATAGAGTGCAGTGGTCAGAGTATGTCATATACAGCCCTGTGTATAGAGTGCAGTGGTCAGGAGTATGTCATATACAGCTCTGTGTATAGAGTGCAGTGGTCAGGAGTATGTCATATACAGCCCTGTGTATAGAGTGCAGTGGTCAGGAGTATGTCATATACAGCCCTGTGTATAGAGTGCAGTGGTCAGGAGTATGTCATATACAGCCCTGTGTATAGAGTGCAGTGGTCAGGAGTATGTCATATATAGTCCTGTGTATAGAGTGCAGTGGTCAGGAATATGTAATATACAGCCCTGTGTATACAGTGCAGTAGTCAGGAACATGTTGCATACAGCCCTGTGTATAGAGTGCAGTGGTCAGGAGTATGTTGCATACAGCCCTGTGTATAGAGTGCAGTGGTCAGGAGTATGTTGCATACAGCCCTGTGTATAGAGTGCAGTGGTCAGGAGTATGTTGCATACAGCCCTGTGTATAGAGTGCAGTGGTCAGGAGTATGTCGCATACAGCCCTGTGTATAGAGTGCAGTGGTCAGGAGTATGTCGCATACAGCCCTGTGTATAGAGTGCAGTGGTCAGGAGTATGTCATATACAGCCCTGTGTATAGAGTGCAGTGGTCAGGAGTATGTCATATACAGCCCAGTGTATAGAGTGCAGTGGTCAGGAATATGTCATATACAGCCCAGTGTATAGAGTGCAGTGATCAGGAACATGTCATATATAGCCCTGTGCATAGAGTGCAGTGGTCAGGAGTATGTCATATACAGCCCTGTGTATAGAGTGCAGTAGTCAAGTAAAACAAGCTAGAGAAGGAATCTGAAGAAAATGTCCATGATGGAGATGAGGGTTCCATATAGTATGAGCAGCATCACCCTTCACTCTGTAGCCAAGACCTAGCCTAGCAATGCCCAGAATGACACCAATGAGTCTCTGACCAATCTCACGGTTGGATGGACTTTCTCTCTTTGATTATTTCCAGGTGAACATGAATTAGAGTTCCAATATCTCCCCTGTGTTCTGCAGACAGATAAACATTTCCTGATGACTTATGTTGTACAGATTCCTCGTGTTCCCGATATGAGCTCATACATTTGGACTTGTTCAACTTTCCAACCAGGAGTGAATGGACTTGGATAGATACTCTCCCTATGTGGAGGACACGTGGCCTGGTATGGTTCCGGAGGGGAAATACTCACTCCCCACCCCCCTTCCCTGGGTAGCCAGGCTGCATGCTCAGACAAGTACTGATACTTGATTCGGTACTGATTTTGGGGCACCTCCCACTTTTAATTTTTTTTCCTAAAATCAGTACCCCACCTGAGAGGTCTAAGATGATTTTTTTCATGGGGGAAGAAATGTTCCTTTAACATTATATTTATATTCACCTGTCAGCTGACTGCTGAATGGGCTGAGTGGGGATACGTCATTGGCTGTTGGGACCCCGGAGGTTGCTGACCCCCTAACATCCAGCTGAGCGGGAAGCTGCTGTATTTCACAGTATTAGATCTACTGCAGTCCGAGGTTCAACTCAGCTGAACTCACATTCTGTTCTGACATTCACCCATTCCACAAACATGCTCCATTCTATGTGACCCTGGGTTCAGTCCTAACCTGGAGCTCAGCTCTGTTAGTGTAGTGGTCCCTTACATTGGTGACCGATGGGAGAAGGACCCCCTTATATCAGTGGTCAGTGTAGTGGTCCCTTACATTGGTGACCAGTGGGAGGACCCCCTTATATCAGTGGGCAGTGTAGTGGTCCCTTACATTGGTGA